GTGCGCTTGTATGCCAGTACCCAGAAGGCAATTGGCGCAGGGGGACCACGCCATTGCGCATGCACGTAAGACCCCCGCATGTGCCATGTGTCTCTGCGCATGTGCACACATCTCCTGCGCACCCCTCCCCCCTGTGCAGGCACACGATACTCAACAATCAGCTGTTTCGGCATGCAGTGCGCGCACATGCGCAGTGGGGCTCTTCTGGGTGACCTCTCGCATGCCAGCAGAAATGGTTCTGCGTGCCACTTCCAACATGCGTGCCATAGGTTCGCCATCATGGCCATAGGATATAAACATTCAGATGTTTGCACTGTTATTGCTTATTATGTACTTTAGTTCCATTTATTTCAGTTATACTACAAAGTGGCAACCTCAGTTTTCCTATCAAGTTTGATTCCTTGGACAATTTTACTTAAAAGTCCACTTGTTAGCAAACATATTAGTTGAAAAGTTGCATGTTTCACTGCACTGAAATTATCTTATATATATCCATTATACTACTAATTCTCATAGCACCCATATAACTGGCAAGTCAGTCTACTATGATCATTTTCTACCCCATATGTATATAAAATCATAATTCCTTTAAATTTAATGAGAATAATTTTCCAGGAATATGGGATTGTAAATTTTTTCATCTTTTAAAAACTCAGTTATGTCAACTTCAGACAGGATGATACATATCCATGATTAAGTTTTCAAGTAAATATTAAATAAAAGACTTACAAGTATGTTTGCTACAGATTTCTGCCTACTGTTTGCAATTTTTCTTATAGACTTTCGGAGTTTTATTTTCTATGGGCAAATATAGGTAGTCATCATTGATATAAATGTGTGATCTGTTCGCTACTCTCAAGTTTAACATTTTTATAATGATATACAAAGCTCATAATATATTACACAGCCAAATGGTTTCCTATACATTTAAGGCTCTTCCAGAACAATTCTCATTCAAAAGAAAGCCCTGTTTAAATTCTAATTTTCTGCAGAAACTTTTTTTTTAGTTTAAAACCTGCACTTCATATTCAGACAGAAAACTCACTGCTCTATCACTTATATCTGAACAAAAATAGAATTCAAAAATTTACTAAAATATGGATATATACATTCGTCCTTTCTAATGAGGTAAAGTGGCTTAGAGAGAATGTTGACAGCTAGTGCCCCCCCAATTTAGCACTAATAAAAAAAGAATAGATTAGTTAGATGCATTTCAGCTGCAAAAACATTTTATCATTTTGTTGACTGGGAGGTATTTCAAAAGAAAATTAAGGACCCTTACCTCCACTGACCTTATTGGTTAGTTAAAATTTATGGGAAATAAATGAGGTTCTTTTGGAGGTCAGCGGGAATTACAAAGGATCTGGAACAAAATTCTGGGGCTTAAAAGCTAGTCAGTAGGTGCTGATTAAAATTCACTACCATTCATAAGCCTGTGTCTTATGCAAGTCCTAAGTACAATTTTATTAGTTTTGATTTCCTTTGTGGATGTATGCATTTTTTTAAAAAGGCTTTATATAACTATAAAGCAAGGATATCTAGCAATCATAGAGTTGACCATTAGTGAAATTATAACATAAGGTAATCTATCTAAAGAAAATAAGCCACCTTGGGGAAAAAAGTGTTTTAATATATAACTTTATACAATTGAGAGTTAATAAAATTTGAGAATTTCTTCTCTTGCTGCAGTGTCTAGGTACACACAACACATGATTTAAGAAAATCAGGGCTCATTTTTAACACTTTCATCTGTTTTTTGTTTGTTATTATTACACCTTTTTCCTGGGTCATGGAATGTGATGTAAAGTTAAATGCCACTTGACATGGCCCTGTAATTAGAAACCACTTTGTTTTGATAAGGGCTCTTTCAGAAATGGGTTTCCATATCAATTTGCCCCCTATTGCTTAACACTAGACAAAGCATTTCAAGCACTACTGAAAGGGTAGTAAAAATAGAACAGACAACAGTTACCTTTATCCCTTGGTGCTGTGTGGTTAAGGTTAATTTGGATTCATCCAGAAGCAGAACTTCGCAATAAAATTCCTCAGGCACTGCACAGAAGCAGCCCATGGTTACTCCAGTGTCTTGGATGTCAGAGTGCAAATGATAAAAAAAGAGATGAACGTAAGTAACTTCAAGCACAGCAAAGGGGAAACCAAATAACTCCTTCTGATCGGCAATTTTTATTCCACTCGGATCAAAGGTGAAGGAAAAGCAGACTAGTCTTTGTCTTCAACGAGCTGCTAAAGAGGGTGGCTTACACCAAAGGTTAAGTCTTCATCAGGCATCCTGCAAAAAGAGGGAAAGAAGCCCAAATCCCTCTTACCACCTTGTAAACGAGAGGGAAAAAAATTTATACGTTCATTGTCAAGAGTTAAGAGTGACAAAAGAAGAAAGTTGTCAGAGGTAAATCCATTATAAAGTTTCATAAGCTCCTCAGCCCTATGGGCTTCTTTGTTCAGCTAGGAGAGTCTCTTGGCCTCTGAAGCACACGGGTGCTGTGGATAATTGAGCAGTTAACAAGCTTGCTCTGGATAGCAATATGAGGCAACCACAAGAGAAGCTGGTCATCCTTCAAGGCCTACTAGGGCCCGAGCCCTTCAAGCGCAAAAGAACTTAAGAAAGGCACCCGGGCCGGGAAAAAACTCCAATTCCTCCTCGGCTGCACAACGCCGGGCGCTCCAGCGAAAGCTCCTCCAAGCCCCGTCCGCGGGATTAATAATTACCCACGTTCCCCTCCCCCTTCCTCCTCTCCCTCGGGGATTGCTCTTTTGTATGCCGAGAGAAAAGGAAGGATCCGGGCAGGAGGGAAACCGCCCCGCCTTCAGCGCGCACACCCCCTACCCCCGCCTTTTCCTATCTGACAACGGGGGATTCGGGGGCTTACCTGGAGGTGCGGAAAAGCCAAACCAAGAAGCCGCTGCTCCTGACAGGGCGTGAAGAAGCGGGCTGGCAGGTACAGACCGTTCACCTTTGTGGGCTAATAAAGCACAACCACAACAGCTTGCGCTTTCTAAGTCAGACGCAAGCCCGTCTGCCTTGGACACACACACACACACACACACACACACACACACACACACACACGCCCTTCTCTCCGTGGCGCTGAAATTGGGGGTGGGGGGTGGCGGCAGAGACACACCGTATGGCTCCTATTGCCGTTTTCTCCCGGCCTTGTCCACTCCTCTCGAGTAGGCTTTTTCCCGTCGGGGAAACAGCGAAGGATTCGGGATTCTTCTTGTCGCCCAACTCAGCCGGCAAAGTTCCCCGCGAAAAGCGAAGAGAGCCTCGGGCGCAGCAGTTAACAAACGCCACCTGCCCCGGGCTGGGTCCAGTCGCTCAGTTTCCTTCTCAGCTGGAGAAGCTCAGCGTGCGAGATGTCAACACTGCTTCCTCGCCGGACCTTCTCTTTCTCCTCCTCCACGGATGAGGCTCGGCTTCCCAGTCCACCTTTGCCAACATGGCCCAGGATGGTGCCAGGAGGAGCGGCGGTCGCTTTCCTTGCCCAGCCCAGGGGCAGCCGCGGCTCCTGCGCGCTTCTACCTTCAAGGCGAGCAACGCCTCCGCTCAAGCTGCCGGCTTGCCGCCGCCGCCTCCTCCGCGGCTGAGAAGTCGGACTTGCTCCCGCTGTGGCTCTGGCACCTCCGCGATGCCGGCTTGTGGCTGGGCTGCCCAACCGGCGTTTTTGTCTCCCTCCGCCTTTTTGCTCCCGCCAACCTTTCACCTTCCCTGCCTTAGCAGCACCGGCGGGGGAGGAGGCGTAACTGTGCAAGGACAGCAGTGACCCCTACCGGGCGATTCCGCCAAGCCGGACTTGAACATGATGATTCAGAGAGGGAACGGCAGAGTGTGCTTTTAGGTGAATAACCACTCCAGGAGAGATTTAGCATGCAAACTATTTCTTATGGAGACAGACATCTCTCATCAAGAGTTGTCTTGGCAAAAGGAGAGAGGCATCATTTGCTGGAGACTGCTGCTTGCTTTAGATGGATTCAAACACATCTTAAAAATGTCTATCATAGATGTTCTTACAAGCCCTTTACATAATGTTTGGAAGAAGGATTTGAACTTGCTTCCAATTTATAAAAATTCCCTGAGGCCTTTCCTGTGCACATTCCACTTAAATCGCCTTTCAACTGTACAGCACTGTATGCCTATATTACAGCAGGGAATGGAGCAATCAGATATCACTAGACAGCATAACATTCAACTGGTAAAAAAATTGCATAGAATGCTGAAAACTTACCAAAGGAGTGATGAGAGTGCTTTGTGCTAATTAGATCATCCCCCTCAATCTTAATTTTAGGCTGAGTTCAATTTCACATTAAGTCATGATGTGGATTGTTTGTGATTAAGGGCTCTTTTTCCCATCCCCGAATCTAGTACTAAGATGCTTGATCTTTTTCTTCATTTTTTCATGACATTATCCAATATCCGTGTCTCATTGCTAGCTTTTTTGTTTTTCTTTTTTAATTAACTTTTTATTCCACTGCACCATATCATGCAGCAACTCTTGGTGGTTTATAATATAATAAAAAGTTAGAAGGTCCTGCAAGAAATTTAAATTAGAGGAATTAAATAGAAAATATAAAAACAAAGATGAGGGACGGTCTGGGAGTGGAGATCTTTTCTACGTGGTCAGTCACCCCCAGCATAGCAGGCCTTTGTTAGGGCCCAAGCCAAGCAGCAGAGCCAAGTTTTCAGGCTCTTCCAGAAGGCCAGGAATATGGGGTCAGACCTCACTTCCAATGAGAGAATATTCCATAGAGCAGGGGGCATAGCAGAAAATCTTGTCTTGGACCCCGCCAGTCAAAACTCTTTGGCAGTTGGGACCCAAAATAGACCCTTTCCAAAGGAAAAAAAATGGGGCAGGCTAGTGCCATTGGAGTGCAGTGGTTCCTCAGCTACCCTGACCCCATGCTATAGTTGGTTAGTTCCTTTGTGGGTCCAATTCGCAAAAAGGAAATATTTTTTCTTTTTAAATAGAATTTTAGGTATGAATACAAGCTGGTACACCTCAGTGTTTCTCAACCTTGACAACTTTTAAGAAGTGTGAACTTCAGTTCCAAAAATTCACCAGCCAGCATGCCAAGGTAAGAAATACTGCATTACACTAATGATACTGAGCCATTCAAGGATTAAACTAACTCCAATTGGCTACGCTACTTTATGCTGCTGCACACATATTTCATCCATTCCCATTGCTGGGATCTGCTGTCTGTGGTTATATTGGCTTAGTCTATAGGAAAGATTAGGCACCTGCCCCTGCAGAGATATCTGCCTGCTTAATGCCTGACTAATGCTTTCAATTGGTTTAGTACCTTTTGGAAAGAGTGCTAGACTTATTTTCTAAGCAGCACTTCATTTTTAAACTGCAGAGAAAGTTAATTTAAAGCATGAGAAAGAGCTGCTTTTTCCAACTGTTGCTACAACTGTAGTTTTGCCGCTTCTACCAACAATGAGCTTCTGTGGAGAAGGTGACGCCATCTTGCCCACTCTAATTCAAATTTGGCACTGATGACTAGGGAAAAATTAACTGTCTGATAATTCACAATTCTCATACAACATTTGTCAACAATGGGACATGGTTATTATTGTTACCACCCATATTCATCTTCCCTACCTGTAACCTGTCAGCTGGATTGTTTTCAACATGAGTTTAGCACTCTTCAGTAATAGCTTGACTGAGAGGGACAGATGAGGGGCTGCACTGAGTAGGAGCAGTGGGAGCATTTCCTCCCACTTTACCTCAGGTACCCCTTTACACTTGCAATCTATTAGTCAGACAATCTGACAGATGGATAAACCTGTTGTTTTAAGGACTCATCTATGTTCACCCAACCATATCCCAACCCAGGGACAGTAGTGGCTTTTTTTTTTTTTGCCCACTGGGAAATGGGAGGGAAAATTAAGCCAAGCAAATCCAGTTCGGCTTCTCAGTTTGGTATGTGACAAGTGTTTAAGAACACTTGTTATGGCAGAGTAGGAGGGCCACAGTATTTACACTAGCATATTTTCCTGAAATCTTAAAGACTGATAGGTAGTAGTACAACACAATGGTCTAGAATAGTACTTAATTAAACAATCAATTATTAAATAAACTACAAATCAGTGCAATGTACAGACTTTAAGACTTTGAAATTGTTTTAAGAATATTAACACTTATATTTAAAAATACAATCATCTTAGAATCTTACTTTCATCCAAATGACTCCTGTAGGAAAGAGAGGGGGGTGGGGAAAGAGACTGACTCATACTTCTTCCAGGGCATGGTGAAATGTACATTTTTGAAACTACATTCTTAGTCACAAATGAAAGAATTTGGGCCATAGCCAATTCCATTCTTTTTTACATGACATTATTTAAACATACTTCAGCGGTTTTGCAATCGGAATACAAAATATTTCAAAGTGGTGGTGAGGGTTTGGTCTTTTTCTTATTCCAGGAATCGTTGCATTGGTCTATGATGAATTGTCCTGGGGTCAGTAATGAAAACTGGTAGATAAGTCTTTAAATAAATTGCTTTTTTAGAACCTAAAAAAACATTTGTTATCATACTTCTTAGGGAAAGGAACTACTCTAAAAGCATGTGAACAAGATACCCCAAAGACTTGTTTCAATGCTAATCAGTGCACTAAGCTTTATTTTTAAATTCCTTTCAAAACAAGACTGTTTCTGATATGCCCTCCCTAAAATGGGACACTTAAATTACAATAATTCTGACCCTGCTTTTGGCGCCTTTCAGCTCATACAGGTAGTCCTCGACTTATGACCACAATTGGGCCCAACCTTTCTATTGCTAAGTGATATCTTTTTTAAGTGAATTTTGCCCCACTTTACTACCTTGCTTGCCACAGTTGTTAAGTGAATCATTGCAGTTGTTAAATTAGTAACATGGTTGTTAAGTGAATCTGTCTTCCCCATTGCTTATCAGAAGATCACAAAAGATGATTACATGACCCTGGGCCATTGCAACCATAAATATGAATAAATACGAATCAGTTGCAAATTTTGATCAACGCTTCAACTGTTGTAAGTGTGAAAAATATGATCATAAGTTACTTTTTCAATGCTGTTGTAACTTTAAACAGTCACAAAATGAATTGTAGGTTGAGGACTACCTGTAATTGATTTTGATTTTATTTTTAAATTATAGTGTTGCTCTAAGATATTATACACACTATGACAAATGTTAAACATTTAGTTAGTTATACTTTTAAAGAAGTGGTGGTGAAGCATTAAAATCAACTTTGCAGTAATAAATCCAACAATAACTCAAACCCAATAGAACATATATCAACCAGCAGAATTGAAACGAAAATATATAGATGACCATTAATCAATCCATACATAAATTATATACCATTCTGGAAACTCCTGTAAGAAAACATGGTATGACAATATTTTAAAAGAAATGTATATTGTTTTTCTTAACTGGAAATCCCATTCTGTTTCATTTATCTGCTAACAATTACAATAGAAATGGCCTTCTGGTATTTAAATCTGTAGTATAAAAGTACACAGTGAAGCTCCACCGAGCACAAGTGAAACGTTCAAAGGCTTCTAGAAATTTGGCCCACACACAACTAATGAAGTTTTATGCTTTGCAGAAACATGCTGTGACCTGTCCACACAAGCTTGCCTTATGCAGTTGTATTAAAATTTTTGCATTTCGGAAGGGGAGTGTCTGTGAAGATGGTACCTAACAGGCCACTGAGAAATATAGTTATTGCCTCACCTTACCTCCAGGGAAAATAGGAAATGGCTAAGAGTGATGCTTCAGCATTGTTTTATAATAAACTTCATTCTCTGAGTTCATCAGTGCGAATTCAATTCATTTTCTCCTAAGCATTTTTTTCATTGTTCAACCCTAGCTTTAAAAAGAAAAAAGAAGTACCCTTCTTTATTGCTAGGTTAGCAAAGAGAGCTGTGATAATTGTTGAAATCTTTCACCTGGACCAGTGCACTATCAGAAATAGTTCTGATTTATTGATCAATGCCATAAGTAATTTTTAGGCAAAGTAGTCAAATTTCAAAAGTAAAACTTCAGGCAAGGAGTGAAAAGGAGAGCAATTTAGCTCTTAGAGGTTCTCACTTTCTTTACCACTCTTACTTTATTTAGCAGGAGCGTCAAAGAAACCATACCATAGAAAATAGGTAGAATTTTTCTCCCAAATATCAGAAGAACAATATTGAGTGCTATGGGCTGCTACCATCTTAAGTGGTAAATAAGTAATTTTTGAGCCTCTAACTTAAAAGCAAGCAAATATATTTTTAAAAGTGTCTTTCTGTAAACCTATGTGATCCTAATAGAGGTGTTTCAAAAATGTTATCAAAATTATTAATGAGCAGTAATTCTGTTTCCTGTATTCAATCAAGTTAATACATTTTAATTAAGCTCTCCATTTATTTGCTATGTTCCTGCAACTCTTGCAGTGAAAATATTATGCACATTTGGTTACCTGGTTAATTTTAAAACTACACCATATAGCAGAAAATGTAGCAGCTTTTTGAATGCTTCCACTGCATGTATCATTAATAAATGATTTATGTGGGATAGGATTCCAAGTAGTTTTTGATTATTTGATTATTGATTATTTAGATTTATATTCCAGTTTTATTGTTTACAATTCAAAGAAGTTTTCTCCTCTTGCTTTTCCCCACAAGAGTCTTATGAGGTTAAGTTGGCCCCAAGTTATACAGTTAATTTCTGCATCTAATGAAGGACTAGAGGGCCAGAACCCATAGCATCCAGGTTTCTAGTCCAACAACTTAAACCATTGCACTCAGGTAATGTAAAGGTGATCATGAAGCTCCAGTCAAGACTAGTTACCGGTAGTTATGTTTAGAATAAGAGTTTTGTCATTGGATATTGACAGCAATTAATTTATAAAATGGTAATTATTTATTCCACATTTGGAGCGACAGTGTTAATCTGTAGGTTTAGACTTACAAACTTCTCCTCTGTACTTAAAATGCATAGTTAGCATTCTAGTGGCTTCAAAAATTAGCCAACAGGAAATCAGACTAGATTAATTTCAACAATTTCAAGAGGCTACTCTTTGAAGTCAGCAGGCATCTATTCATCTGTGATATATTATCTTCAATTATTATTCTCAAAGTGAAGCACTTTACTTACCATTTTCACATATTCACACTAATGCTAAAGTGACCTGTCACTTGAATGGATGTTTAAACTATAGCTGGAGGCAAAACATTGCAATGAATAGTTTATGATGTCCTTTGTGTTCAGTTTATTAACAGGGTTGTCTTTTTAGTACATTATTTCCTTGTAAAAACACATAGCTAAAATACCATTAATTTTTATGACTTTTCAGTTTAATCTTTCCATGATTAAACTCTTAATGAGATAAATTAATGCTGTACTATGCATGTGAATTTTGGATTAAATTCTTATATTCTGTAACTAGAGTAACTGAAGTCTAAAAACACAGATGATTATGAATAGTGACATGTTTTATTCTGTCCTTCTGAAAATATGGTATTGACTGATAATTGTAATGCAATCAGATTTTTAAGTTATTTAGCATCTATAAATTCTATCATTTTGTTACAAATATGCTTTATTTGTTAAGAGTTTGGGAATGAATGTTTTATTTTAAAGTATTAGATTGTTGTTAAACTCTCCTGATAAGGAGTCATGTGAAATTATAATTCAAAAACAAAATCAGAAATCTTCCATAGTGAAATGGCTGTTAATATAAATGGCCACTCAAGAGTAAAATATATTCATAAGTTAATGCATATGGAATAGAATCAAGATTTTCAAAAATCTGTCACTTAAACATAAAGCTTTCAACATATACAATAGAGTTGATCAAATATCCATACTAGGATGGATAAATTTAAATTACCAATTGAACTGCTGTCACTTAAGCTCCATTATGAATGTTAAGAATATGCAAAGTAATGATGATAGAACAGAGGTTGGCTGCTGCCAGTTCAGACTGGTTCGCCTGAATTGCTTGTTCTGATTTTGCGCGGTTCAGAGAACTGGAAAATTGGACCACTGGCTGGTCCCACCCCTGGCCATTTTTTCAGGCCATTTTCAGGCCAAAATCCACCAATTGAT